CCTAATTCTTCAGAAATCCTGTGGCATGAGAAAGCTGTTTAGGAAGCTGACCACAATGATGAGGTTTTGTCCTGGGCAGTGGTTGACACTGTCAAGGATGGAATGTCTGTGCAAATATGTGCCAACCCTGCTGGAGGGCCCACTTGTTCCCTAGCAGGTGACTGTGATGGCTCTGGTCAGGTTCCCAGAGGACACAGCAATCAGGGTGCCAGAGAGCAGCCTTCACTGGTGTCCCCTCCCATGTTAGCATTCACCGTGGACTTCCTTATGGCTGGAACACTCTCCAGCACTTTGATCCAGGAGGAGCATGTTGCTGACTGCCCTCATCCCATCAGGGGCTAATCCCGACTGCAGGAAGGGAAGGGCTGTGAGCATATCCTTGTAAGCCAGGGCGGCAAGAAGACAGACCTAGGTCAACTTTCACCTGCTGACACCAGGTTATTCTGTTCAGACAAGATCCAGCACACCAGGGGAGGAAATGAAGGAGACAGAACCACCTTTTCTTCTAGGCTAAGTTGCTCTCTCTCCCAGACATAGAGCTCTCCATAAATATAAACTGATCTTAATGGTGGGTCCTCTTTACCCAGAAATGTAAATTCATTTTCCTCAAATAACAATTGCCTGTGGTGCTTTTATGGATCTTTGTATTTAAAAAACACAAACAGAAACAAGTAGAGGAGGAAGAGGAAAGCCAAAGCTGCTCTGGGCTACTGCATCCTGCAAGTGAACTCCCCAGGGCAACGTCTTCCCTTGGATGCCAGGGGGAGAAAGCGAAACAGGCCAGGGCAGCGGCCAGCATTTTCAGCTGGGACTGGCCAGCATAAAGCTGTCATTTTCCAGACAGCAGCAAAGGGTAACTTCGAAGGTCTCAGCGAGGAAAAAGGGGTTATCGAGTAAGACCTTGGAAATGATCACCAAACCACTATATAGCCTTCTTACTGCCAGCAAACTGCCTCTTCTCTGGCCTGGAAATATCAAACAGTAGACTGGGACATGGATCTGTTCAATAACACCCAAAAGCCCATTCTCAGACTGTTCAGGCTTCCCCAACACAGCAGTAACCACAAAGCTGTATGTGTGGCTGACTGGTCAGTAACTGCGCCTAGATGGGACACTTTTTTTGGATAGGTGACCCGGGAGAAGGTCAAGAGGTCCCAAACGATTGTTATTCGCAGTGAGGGTCTAAGGAGAGAAGCACCGCTAGGTCAATGAGACAGGAGCACCAAGGCTGAAAAGAGTCATGTACCCTAGAGCACATGCTAAGTGGCGTGTGAAAAGCTAGCTGCACTTCTTGGCTAGTTATCTACACGTGAGCTCCTGCTGTCTCCCATCAGTACTTGTGGCAAGATGCTAACAATGGGCACAACTCCCCATCTGGGGAATTACACCAGATACTCCTGTCGTGGCAGTATGGCAGGGCATTGCCTTCAAGAGGCAGCTATGTTGGGGGATGGGGGTGGAGGCAGATACATGCTGTCCAAGCGGACATAGCACTCATGGCTCAAAATCATGACTACCGTGACACACAGTACTGTCTCATGTTGTGCGGTCCAGAGGCAGCCTGGCCTCAATGGCCCAGGACAAAAGAGCCAACTTACACTTGTAGGATTACAAGAAGCTATTGAAACCCCAAAGAACTAGTATGGTTGCTGCTTAACAAAACTTGATTTGTAAAAATGGGCAGTGGGCCAGATATCTGCCCACTGCTGCTATGTATCAACAGAGGACAGTAAGGCTGGGAAGCAGAAGTCCTTGGCTGCTTTGGGCTTCAAGGTCAAACACAAAATCAGGTGTCTAATTTACTGTTCTCTCTGCCCTGGGGCTGGCAGCACTCTCAGAATGCCCAGACCACTGAAGGAGAGCACTCCTTTCAGACCTTCACATGAGGGACATGAACAAAAGCCAATGGGAACCACTGCCAAGGATAAACACCACATAGAAAGAGAGAAAGCAATGCAGTGAAAGGTAGCAAGACAGACATTAAGGAAAATAAAGCTCATTGGGGGCTACAAGTGTGGGAAGTTCCGGGCCGAGCAACATCACTGTCTAATAGTCCGGGGAAAGCACGATTATTGGGCCTCAACATAATAAGGGTCATTCCAGAATGTACGGAAGGACTGATCTGACACCTGAAGCTTCACACAAAGATATGGGAAGGAAAGACCACACTGCATTAACTCAAAATCAAAGGAAAGGGCAGGGATTCCTGTCATGTCAGACTAATCCAGAACAATGTGCTCAACAACCACGGCACTGTTTTTGCTGTCCCAGGATCTTTGCATGCCGGTTGAGTGAACTCTCCTTGGCTCGGGGATGGGATGGTTTCATGGTCCCATATATGAGAGTCCAACTTCACACCCAACAGACTCAGTGTTTCAAAATCAACCAAGCTGTGTGCACCAACATTCCTACTGTAACTCAGACTGCCAGGAGCTGGGGACAGGGAAACCCTGGCCAAAAATAAGACAAAGAAAATATTTAAAAGGAAGGGATGGGTCAAGGCCAAGGACATTTACATCTGTAAAATATCTAGCTCTCTAAGTTAGATCTGACTATCAAGGGCATAGGAACAAGTTCAAAAGCAACCAGTTCAACTGTGGCCATCACAACGCTGCCTCAACGCCAGAGGAGCTCCTGGAGGGAAACTTGGTGCAAAGGAGGCTGCGCCACAGGTAAGAGATACGTTAGCTGGTGGCTGTGCCGCCACACGCAGTAAGTGCCAGTGCAACAGACATTTCTCCTTCAGGAAATCCTGCACAGTGTGGGGGACGAGAGCAGAGAAAAATCCTCCCCAAGACAATTTATGGGATCAAAAAGGTGTTATTACACAGATGAAAGCAATTTAATAAATCTGTAACAAAGTGAAAGCCTCTTCATTCCTGGGTTGTTCAGAAAACAATTTTCACACATTAGATGAGAACTGCCGAGGGAAGCAGTCGACAACCGGTGCTTTCAGCTGAAATCTTGAATTCTGGATAGTTTAAGCCATACTCGTATTTCCTCAGGAAAAAACCTTCCAGGAGCTGGCAGTGTGGTGTAGCAGTGAAGCCACACGGGATGCCGGCAGCACTTAGGAGCGAGGCTGGCATCCCTACTGCTCCATCTCCAGTCCAGCTTCCTGTTAATGTGCCTGGGAGGAATGCCCAGCGCTGGGGTCCTTGATGCCCACCGGGAGACCCAGATGGAGTTCTAGGCTCCTGCCTTTGTTTTGGCCCGGCCTCAGCTGATATAGCTATTTGGGAAATGAACCAGCAGTTTCTCCCTTGGTCTGCAAGTATTAAAAAAAAAAATATATATATATATATATATATACATATATATATAGACCTCTCCAAAGGCTAGACCAGGTCATCACATGAACTGTTCAAAAAGACAGAGAGGTTCATTATCACGAGCTATCTTCCCATTGTTCAAACCTCAGCAGAGGTCACAATCACTGTGAGATACTAAGAAAGGCTCTGTCACTGCTTTTAGTCAGTTTTCTTTTTGACCGACAACATTCTGGGATCTCATCACTGCATCAAAATCATGATCAGGAAGTGCCTGAGAAAGCTGAGACCGAAGGGGAAAGAAACCGGAGGAAAACGGAACAAAAAGATGACTGTGGCGAGACATGTGGTCATACAGCAGAGAACGCTCCCGCCCCAAGCCAGCAAATACCTGCCGAAATGCAACAGTGAGAATTCCTCCCTCACGCTGCTTCTGTCACGGTGTGAGCTGTTAGTGGATTCACCTGCCTTGCCATTCATTACAGAGCCTCTGTGTGCTGCACGGCCAGAAAGTCCAGAGCCAGGGGAAAGTGTGCACCATTTGCCTTTTCTACACATCCCTGCATCACCTGAAAAGCTGCACTGAGTGCAGAGACTCCAGAAACGCTTCTATGACAGAAATTCAAGCGACATTGTGGACTCAGAAAACAGAAGGAGTGGGGGAGAGCACCCTAAATGCCAATATAAGGACTTCTCCTTCACAAAGCAAACAGGCACCTCCATAAAACCCAAAATGCAGGCAAAGTGATCTGATGTTACGATCAAGCCACACAGCCACGGACCGATGTTCAAGGCCAAGGCAGCAGAGTCTAGCATTTGCAGCTGGTATTCAGGAAACAGAACCCCTAGCTCCCCAACTGAGCATATAGTATTTGTTTCATCACATTTCTTTCTTTCACAAAATGAGAAGGCAAACGTGAGGGAATCCCACAGAGGAGGCAACCGCAGTAATACCACCAGTAAGGTGGAAGAGAAAACGGTGACTCTCTCAAGGCCCCGGAAGTGCAAAGTGAGCACCGTGGGCTGCACTGCTCTCCTGTGCCTCTCTCCCGCACCACGCATTGGCTGGTGAGTCACACCAAACACAGACAAAGGCGGACCCCATGCCTGAAGCCGGAACCCACTTCCCCACTGCTCCTTTCTTGTGCCCACCTAGCAGGATGAATGGCCGGCACGCTCCTAGAAAGAAGATGGAGCTGCTGACGAAGACTTGCCTCAAATTAGCAGGTAGAAGGGTAAACTACAGCAGCCGAGAGTCTAACTCTTGCCTGCAAAGCCAGCTCAACAGGCAGAACCAGAAATACAATTAAATTAACTCAGAAAACCCGCTACAGAAAATGCAATTACTCAAAGATACAAATAAACGTTCAAAGAAAATTGGCCCCTGACAGGGTTAGTCAAGCTTCTAAATCCAGCTGGTGGCAGGCCGCTCAGGCTAATTCACCAAGGAGGGCTGCCGAGCTATCCACTTTCTGCATTAGAACCCTGGCTGGGCTGGCCTGGGCTTCATGCATTCCAGTCACCAGGAGGGGCTGCAACAGTGTGCAGGTGAGTGGCCAACAACAAAGGGTCCGCGCAAATATGACACAGGTAAATACAACACGGGAGTGGGATGTGCCAGGCCAGGCAGTGGACGAAGAACCTGATACACAGCGCACAACAGAAAGGTGTCAGACGAAGAGGCACTTATTCCGCTTCCCCACAGAAGGAGCTCCTGGAAGATGTTCCTACCTCTCGTTGCAACACCAGCTCCTTGGTGAACAGTGTGGCTTCCTCACTGAAGGGTTCTCCTTCTTGCACCAGGCCTGGCAGGTTGCGGGCTCCCCTGGGGCACTCGATCCCTGTAACAGGACAAAAGAACTCACAGTGAGAAGGGGCCCTTGCCTGGGGCACCAAGTCAGCTGCCACTTGTCAGCCTAAAATTCCATTCTGACACTGGAGCCCCCAGGAAAAGCCGAGGGAGGGATTCACTTTCTCTCCAGATGTAAAAATGTAACAGTGTTACAAGAGGAACAACAGGGCAGGGCTCTCTTGCACAGCATGTGGGAAAAGGAAGAAAGCTGCCAAAAGGAAGTCCTGAAGTGCAGGTTGGGAGAGAATCAGCATCCTGTAATCTGCTCCCTACCTGGCCGCGGCCTCACAGCTTTACTTACCTAAATGACGCTCTCTCCTAAACTGCACTGCTGTCCGAGCCACGCGGGCTCCAGAGAGCATTCCCGCTGCCTCCTTACCACCCTCTAGCTGTCACAGCACATTCACAAGTGTTAACTCAGTGTCATTTTCCTCTTGAAGTAAGTTTCCCCCACTGTCCTTTGGCTGTCGGACAACAGTGCCATCCGATTTGCATTCAGAATAAGATATAGGAATAAACAATACTGATGAAGGAGAAGATATCCGGAATTGGAGGAACCTGCATTTATATCCAAACTCTATCAATTAGCATCGTGATCTTGGCCAAATTAATGAACAAACCTCAATTTTCCTATTTGTAAAACAGTAATACATACCTTCTTCATAAGGTTGCTATGTGAACTAGCAGAAATTATGTATTTCAAATATTTTGCTGTGAGGGGGTCCTGGCATGGTGGCTCAACTGATTAATCATCCACCTCTAAGTGGCAGCATCCCATACAGGTGCCAGTTTGTGCCCAGCTGCTCCAGTTCCAGTCCAGCTTCCTGCTTGTGGACTGAGAAAGCAGTGGAGGATGGCTCAAGTCCTTGGGTCTCTGCACCCAGAAGAAGCGCCTAGATTTTGGTTTTTGATTGGCTCAGTTCTGGCTGTTGTGGCCATTTGGGGAGAGAACCAACAGGTTGAAGAAGATCTTTCTGTCTCTCTTTCTCTCTGTAAATATACCTTTCCGATAAAAATAATAATAATACTAATAACAAATAAATAAATCTAAAAAAATACATTGTTTGAGCCCGGCACAGTAGCCTAGTGGCTAAAGTCCTTGGCTTGCATGTGCTGGGATCCCATATGGTCACCGGTTCTAATTCCGGTGGCCCCACTTCCCATCCAGCTCCTGCTTGTGGCCTGGGAAAGCAGTGGAGGACAACCGAAAGCCTTGGGACCCTACACAGTGTGGGAGACCTGGAAGAGCTCCTGGCTCCTGGGTTTGGACTGACGCAGCTCTGGCCATTGTGGCCACTTGGGGAGTGAACCAACGCATGGAAGCTCTTCCTCTCTGTCTCCCCTCATCTCTGCCTTTCCAGTACAAATAAATCAATCTTAAAAACGAAACGAAAAACAGCAACAACAAACCACACCTTTGCTCTGGGGGTGGGGCCTGGCACTGCAGGTGACTTAGGCTGATGTCTGTGGCTCCATGGTCACATACAAGCATCGGTTTCAGCACAAGCTGCTCCACTGTCATGCCAGCTTCCTGCCTCTCTGCCTGGGAATGCGGTGTAAGATGGTCAGGCAAGCAGTGGCGTCCCTACCACGTGTGGGCAATGCCGAGTGAGATCTAGTGTCCTGGCTGCGAGCTGGTCCAGTTCCACCTCCAGCCTTTGCCAATGACTGGGGAGTAAACCAGTGGGAACTACTCATGACTAAACTGGCAGATTCTCTCTTTGCAAATACGTTTTATCAATAACAGTAGACATGTGACAGATCATGAAAAATGTTACTTTTTTTTTTTAATATATAGTGAAGACCAAGTTGGTACAAGTAATCAAAAAAATTCTTGCTGGGGCTGTAATTATGAAGCAAACAGTTGAACTAGAGCAGAGACAAGGAAATTCAGGACAGGATGCATGAATCAACGTCTTAAGGACTGGGAGGTGCTGCCCAGTGCACGAGTGGCCTGGAATGAAGGCACAGGGCATTTGCCATGGCATGTTGGGAGGCATCTGGGCTCCACTCAGACACCAGCAGGAGGGAGAAGAGGCCCCACCGCTGCCCATGTAAGCAGCACACCTCAGTATGGATAAATGCTGGCGGCCTGAACTTGAAGTTCTCAAGGTCTCATAGGTGGACTACGTGACAGGAAGTGAAGTGACAAGTGGAGCAGGGCTGCAGCAGGAGGGTGGGCAGAGCTGGAGGCAGTGCCCACCTCCCACCCTCAAGATGCCCAGGCGGCTGAAGGGTCCCTTCCCTACAAGTGTCAACTGGGGAAGAAGACCACAAGGAATGTAAGGGAGGGTGAGAAGTTACTTTTGCAAAAGACAGCTTTAAGTCAAAGAGCCTGAAATGAACGATGGAGGGAGAGATGAGACAGGAGCAAAATGGAAACAAAGACAGCCTGTGTCTCCTACAATCTCAATAGCCAAAAAGCACTTTTCATTTTATATCTGCAAACTAAGCAAAAGTGGAATTGCCAGAGAGAAAAATAAACAATTCCATTGAACTATTTTGCCATATACCCAGAGATGACGCATGGCTGCAGAAACAAGAATAAAGCTGAAACAAGCACTCAGTTTGTTTCTGACCCTTGGCAGCCATTTGGGTGGGGCAGACCGGGGTGCTTCTGGTGGCACATCAACAAACTGGAGAAGTGGTGGGTGAAGCAGGCCAACATCCTGAGCGAGAGGCCAGAGGGACGGAGTTTTCAAGTTCTGTGCTCCACTCTGTGACTTCGTTAGCATTCTCAAAGAGCCCAGCAGCTTGATCTGCATCCTGCAGAGCAGCAGGTGACTGAATGGAGAAAGCATGATGGTTCAACAGGCCTGGGGAGTTAAGCAAGTAACGCAGCAATGTATTCCAAGCATTTTTCAGCAGAGTCCTGTGGACTGGTGGAAACCAGCTCTATATAGATGTTCCAAGGCGTTCCACTCTGGCAGCTGGGCTAAAGCAGGTCAAGATCAGACACTGAAGCAGGCTCCTCCCCCACCCACTTTCACTCATCAGCGCAGTGGGGCAGGTGGGGTAGTACCTCTTCTTCCCAGGAATGGGGTGAGGAGTTTAGGCAGGATGCCAACCCAGGGCCTTGGCACTGGGAGAGGCAGCATCTGTCACAGGACCAGGTTCAAAGGCAGGGCAAGGAGGGCAGGAAGGGGCTTGCCATAGCTGAATGCCTGAGTCACACTAGAGCTAGCGAAGATGAGCCGTTTTCAAACTTTGTAAAAATTTTTGCCAAAATTAAAAAGAAAATTTATCTGTGGCCTCAAAGTTTGAAATACAAGCCTATTTTTCATAACACATAAAATATACTTTATATACATTATATAATATTTTCCACAAGACTTCATGTTTAACAAAATTTCCAAATTTCTTCATCATCTATGTCATGCACACAGTAGCTTTTTTCATTTAATTTTTTTCATTTAATTTTTTTTTAAAGATTTATTTATTTATTGGAAAGTCAGATATACAGAGAGGAGGAGAGACAGAGAGGAAGATCTTCAGTCCCATGATTCACTCCGCAAGTGAGCACAACGGCCGATGCTATGCCGATCCGAAGCCAGGATCCAGGAACTTCTCGGTACCCCACATGGGTGCAGGCAGCTTTGGGCTGTCCTCTACTGCTTTCCCAGGCCACAAGCAGGGAGCTCGATGGGAAGTGGAGCTGCCAGGATTAAAACTGGTACCCATATGGGATCCCAGCGTGTTCAAGGCGAGGACTTTAGCCACTAGGCCATGCCGCTGGGCCCTGTCCATTTAATTGTAAAAAAGAGAAAAGCACAATGACTTTGACCCTGAGTCAATTTAAGATTTCCAGCAGGGCACAACACAGTGTGTAGACTGAGCTGTGAAGGAGGGGGCAGGTGGCACATCTACTCTGCTTCAGACTCAGTTTCCTACTAAAGTGCCTGGGAAAGCAGCAGAGGCTGGTCCACATGCCTGAGATCCTGAAATGCCTGTGGGTGACACGACAGAGCTCCTGGGCTTCTGGCATCCGGCTGCAGCAGCTCTGGCCTTGGTGGGCACCAGGGAGTCAATCAGTGGATGGTAGAATAAATCATTAAAAAAAAGAGAATGTGTCCAGTGATGGGGAGGACATAAGAATGTTAAGAGCTGAAACAAAAACAGCTGCGCTTGCCAGCGACAACCCAGTGGCAACATCAGGGTGACCTCGCCTCTCAGGAGACAGGAGTAAGGGCACCCAGTTCCTGCGGCACCTTTACTCAAGCAAGGCCTGCCATCAAAGGCTCCTGTGCCTGCCCTGCTGCCTGCCTCAAACAAACACAGAAGGGCAAGAAAAACAAAACTGGGTTCCCAGGCAATGGCCCCAGGCTCTGCAGGCAGCCATGGAGGGCTCTGTAGTCAGGGAGAGTGGGGAAGGGCAGCGCTGGAGGGACAGGTCCCCAGTGCTCCCGAGGCTCTCCGCAGCCCCGCAGGAGGGTCTGTAACTCAGGATCCTGTACATGACCACTAATAGCTGTCATTTTCCATAGTGCAATAGTGCAGTGCTGCCTGCTAAGGACACATTAACTCAGCTGGGCTTCGCACAACACAGGTGCAAGTTAACAGCCAAATTTATCCTGGACACCCAAAAACCAAACAAGAAATAAAATATTCTCTGTTCATTTTAAACAAAATTACACCTTTACAAAGCCCAGATATTCTAGGGACCCGAACGATGGCTGGTATGATGGCTCAATGGGCTAAGTATCCGCCTGCAAGGACCAGGATCCCCTATGGGTGCTGGTTCAAGTCCTGGCTGCTCCACTTCCCATCTAGCTCCCTGTTTGTGGCCTGGGAACAGTGGAGGATGGCCCAAAGCCTTGGAACCCTGCACGGAGAGATCCTGAAGAAGCTCCTGGCTTCTGATTAGCTCAGCTCTGGCCATTGTGGCCGCCTTGGGAGTGAAATCAGTAGATGGGAGATCTTTCTGTCTCTTCTCTGTAAACCTACCTTTCACATAAAAATCTCAAAAAAAAAAAAAAATTCCCAGATAGT